TGTCCTCCACAACCTTCCTATAGTCTCCCGACTCAGCCAATCCGCAGTGAAGTGATGCCGCCGTACCTCCAGCGCCCCCAACACCTGTAGGATGTGCCTGGCCACTGCGCATCGCGACTCATGAAGCACTCTCCGCGGCCGCAAGCCCCACGAAGCACAATAGTAGCTCTGCTAAGACCCAGCGCCCGAAGCATCGCAATGGCACCCTCCCGCATGTAGCGCTTGCTCTTCCAACCCAGTGCTCATGCTACTTCGGGCGTTGCATCGCCTCCTACCCAGCAAAGTCTGCTGCTCATGCCAGGCAGTGCAAGGAGCTCACGGGTGGAGAGCATGCTCTCCATGGACGACTCGAAGGTGCCCTCATACGGAGTCTCAAACCAAAGCCGAAGAAGCGCCAAAGTCTCATCCCAGCATCGCCAAGCTGTCTCCACGGTCTCGCTCCGTTCGAAGAGGCGGGATGGTGATAGCTGCATATTGACTCAGTCCGCGAAGCTCTTGTGCCGCCTTCAAACGTACTTGGCGTACGCCATACTGCAACTCGGGCAGGGCCAGCAAGTAGCGCATCTTCAAAACCTTAGGCTCAGGCAACCTGCTCGTCATGCTCTCCACATTCATATAGAGGCCCCAGACAAGCTGCTGGGTTGCTGGCGTTCCCTCGGAAACCTGTTTTTCGAGGCCGCTTTGCCCCAAATCTTCTCAACGGAATGGCCCAAAGCATCCACTGCCTGCCAGGGTCGCACCCCCAGCAGCGGCTCAACAACCACGCTGTCATCCATCAACCATTCAGAGGAGAACGGCGTCGGTCCATTGATGTTCTCCTTCTCCGGCTTGGAGCTCTCGTGATAGGCGCAAAGGCCATGTACTCTCCAGGTGCACCGCACCACCCAAACGGGAGACCCCCGTAAACCAGTTTCACGCGCCGGTATAGCGCGCTGCCGAAGTCTGCCGTGTCCTCGGGCGCCACGTCATGCCATTTGAAGGCTCTGCTCACATCTAGCTTGGCAATCAGACAACGAGCTTGTGGGTTTACGCGCTCTCCACCAGATAGCCTTGCGAGTGATCTGCCGGTGCCGTGGTTGAACTGCTGGGGGATGCTGGTACTTGTGGGTGGCGGCATTGGCTATCATCATAGCGTGGATTGGCCGCCCCTCTGCGCTGATGCTACGGTCTGGAAGCTGCTTCGGGACGCGACCTTGCGGGCATTCAATGAGGTTGCCAGTATATGGCTCTCCGTTGCATCGGACGCGAACAGCACGATTCCCCAATGGCCATCCTTCCAGGCTTTCTGGTACATCTCTTCGAGGTGCTCGATTGTCGATCGCCTTGTCCTTGTTGGCTGAGGTAGTTGGCGTGCTCGGGTTCCAAGCGTCTCAAAACCTCCGTGGATGTAGCGCCGACAGTGGGAACTCCGATCACTTGCCGCCGTGCTTCCCTCATGCAGGCTTCTCATGGCCTCCTCAAGTGTTCCAGCTGTCCTCAAAAGGTCATCTCCAAGCTCAACGGCACGCTTGATCACCTGGGCTCGTACTTTGGATGATCTCTGCAATGGTGCGCATACTTGAGGGCCTTGTTTAACACCTCCTGATCCACTGCCTGGCCTCTTTCCATGCCTTGGCACTCTCCAATGAAGTTCTCAGGCCTGGTTGGCTCTCGCATGATCCAACTGCTCGCCTCCACCTCTTCGGCGTCAAGCAAACATGATGCAGACAAGTAGCCCACCCTTCGGTTGGCTGCCTCATCATCCTTCTCAGGCTCTTGCCCTCGTGACCGTGACCTCGATCTCCGCCTCCTGTCAGTCGAACCACTCGGCTGCTCGCCCGCGGTCTCGGCCCCATCTTCACCCTCAATGCGCGCCCCATTCCAAGGAACCCAAACGCCACCCCCAGGATAGTACCGCCTTGCGGCCTCCAGTTGCTCCTGCGTTGGGTGAGGGAATTCACGAGGTGAGCGGAAGGCTGTCCTGTATAGTCCCGTCCTTCTGGGTAAGTGGGCTGCTGCTCAACATCTGCCTCTTGAGTATAGGATCGCCTTCTTCTTGTCCATGTCCAAAGTGCGGTCCAAGCTCAGGCCTGATCAGTGGGTCATAGAGTCAGAGGTAGAAGGTGGTGGACTCAGCATACTCCGCGTCGATCGAGTCCGGGTGTCACGAAGCCTTGCCAGATCCACCCTCCAATTGTCCAGGAACACCCGCTCGTGCGGGAGGATCTCCGACAAGTCCCTTCGCTGTGGGTACATCCAGGTCCTGCGGTCGTTTGTGATGAGGTGATCGGAATTTGGGCAGTCAACCCAGTCGCCGTAGTGCGAGCCAAATAGGGTCCTGCGAAGCATCACATGGTGGCGAACAAGGAACAGATTGTCTTCTATTGAAGGTCCCACCAATCTTCTGAGTGTCCGTCAAGCCCTTCGAGGGGTCGCGGCGGTCCAAAGACATTGATGCCTCCTTCATAGGGGCGTACTGGTGCTGCTACCTCTCCTGGGTTGATTTCCTGTGGGGTGAGTCGGGCCATGATCCTGGCCTCATCCCTTGGATTCATGCGTCTGTCCTCATCACTGGTGGCCTCCTCCTCTTCTTCTTGCTCGCCCTCCTGCTCCGCCGGGTCCGGCGGGATGGGAATGCCATGACGGAACTTGCTTTCCCCAATGCTGCCGCAATGATGACCACGAAGAAGCCCAAATCCCTCGTTCACCTCTGCACTGCCACAATCGTTCAGGTAGTGCCGAATCGGAAGAATGTAGGGGTTCAGGTTGCTGATGACTTGCGTTATGACTTGCACCTGCTCTGTGTGGGATACCCCCTTCTCGGCCATCACTGTTCTGAATCACTTCCAGCGCCTGGGCCACTTGAATAGTGTCCCAACCTGCGAAAGCAGCTTGCCAATGCCCAACCTTTGCATAGCCTTGCGGGGTACACCTGTACGAGGAACTCTAGGCAGGTCGGACTCGCCCTTGACATCCATGTGTCGGTGACGTCCTTGGCAGCGACGAGAAAGGAGCAAGGCATGTAAGTAGAGGCCAGGGGAAACAAGATTCCACTAGCCTTGTGAGTTTAGATGTAGCCAAGAGGACTGGTTTAAACATTTATTTTTTCATGATTTTTTATGTTTTCAATATGTTTCTATTTATGTTTTTACAAAGTGGTGTTTTTTGGTTTATGATATTTTTATGATTTTTTATGTTCTCTTTTATGTTTTATTTTATGTTTTTCATATGTTTTGTTGAAGTGCCCTTTTCATGTCTTCCCTTTTGCGTTTGTGTTTTTCTTGCTATCTTTCGGCAAATTCACCAATCGTTTTTGGCCTGTGGTTGAAGGTCCGTTCAAGGTTCTTGGTTTGCGAGCCAAATAAATATCAAGTATGTAGAAGGCCTGCAAAGTTTCATGTCCGTGATGTGATTGATAAGGGCTAGTGTAGCCCAGGACTCGCGAGGGCCAAAGATTGAAAAAACGGAGACGCTAACAATTAACGACTGAACTGATAGGATTCTAAATCTCAGACGTGCAAAGTGTCACGTGGCCTTGGGCCAAGGGCAAGGTTGCGCGGCGTTACTCGCAGCTACGTTGGTATAAGCCACCAGGCATTTAGCAAATAGATGCAAGGGAATATCAATGGCAAGTTCTATGCTGGAGACACGGTGCAAAAAACCAAGCAGTGCGCAAGGTTTAAAGTGTTTGACGCCTTTAAGCCTTTAAGTAAGAAGGTTTCAGTTTATGCTGATTCCCTCAAGCCTGTGAAGGCTGTGCCGTACTCAGGGCCACAGGGAAGGAAAGGAACAGGTCTTAGCGTTTGCTCCTCTGGCTAGCTCTAGGTGACCTCCCACGTGCCTGGGACTTCGGACGTGCCAGCTCTCCAGGGGCCACTGCGCAACCTGCAGACCTAGCCGCCGCCTTCCCAGCCACCGCGCTGCGTCCTACCCCAGCCGCGGAGGCGCGCCGCGCGGAATCATCAAAAACATATAAAAAAGCATAAATATAACATAAAAAATCATAAAAAAATAATAACAATCATTGATATCAAAAACATAAAAAGCAAAAAAAATAAAAATCTCCGAACCAGGCACATTTTCAATTTTTTTAATGATTTATTTATGATTTTTTATGTTTTCAATATGTTTCCATTTATGATTTTTTTATGTTTTTTTTTAAGATTCCGCGCGGCGCGTCTCCGCAGGTGTGGGTAGGACGCGGCGCGGTGGCTGGGAAGGTAGCGGCGAGGTCTGTAGGTTGCGCAGTGGCCCCTCGAGAGCTGCCGCGTCCAAAGTGTAGAGGCAGGTGGGAGGTCACCTAGAGCTGGCCAGGGCAGCAAACGCCAAGTCTGCCGGCCTGTGGCCGGCCCTGTGACGCTGAGGAAGGGGCCTTTCATGTTATGAATTTTGCCATGTGTGCACGCGCGGCAGAGAGAAGCTTAGTCGTGTTCCTGGTCATGGTCAGTGCCTTGTTTGTTGGTTTGCGTGCCTGCCTGCTGGTTTTACTGGGAGCGGTCATTTCTACGTCTAGGCAGAAGTCTGGCTTTTTACGACGCAGTCAAAAGTGCCTTGGTTTGCGTTGCTAGAGCCTAAAGCCCGAGCCTTGCCTCAAGCTTTACCGGCCGTACCCACACCGTTCACATAGGACGCAAAGTGCGCTAGGTTAGCGTGATTGACATATATCCAGGGCCTGTATTCGGATTGCAGGCAAATTTTGACTGCTGGGAGAGGGTTTGCATAGTTTCTTTTGCAGAGTGAGTTATTTCATTTATATACTTGGCTGGAAACCAATACTTTGCAAACCTATTTTTTCAACACAAGAACAATAGGACAGAAACAGAAACCCTGAAGAGGCAATGACATTTAAGCATCAAGGAAATTTGATGAAAAACAGTGTACTTTATTAAGAAACATAAAAAACATATAACAAAACTGCCAAAAAACAAAAACATAAATTAAAACATAGGGAAATCTTAAAAAACAATCATAAAAAATAAATCACTTAAACGGCCTTGTGGCTCACATTTAGACTCACAACACTAGCCCTTTTTGTATCTCATCTCGGGCTTGTCGGTGGGTGCTGAGCCCCATTCGCGCAAGTGAGTGGGTACGATGAGCGCTCCTGTGGATTGTTGAAGGCGCTGGACAGCAGGCTGATCCCAAATCTTGGGATATCTTCCTGAAGGCATCGAGGATTCCAGGATGAACTCCTTGTCGTGATCGTAGAGGGACTCGCGCGTGCGGCAGGTGAGGTCACAAAAGTAGTTATACCTTCCTGCTCACTCGCTGGCGAGCTGAAGCTGCGAGTCCCGCCGGTGAGGATGTTGAAGTCGCAATAGCTGGTGCACGGCGCGCCGAATTCCCAGACATTCGCGGCGCATGGACCTGGAAGCTCCATTGTTGCCTGCAAGATCCTGCAAGTAGAAGCTTGCCCCCTTCTCATCCTTCAGGTCGAAGTGGTCACGTCGGCCCCGTTTTTGCAACGGGTCACTGAACAGCTCGATGGGCTCGTTAGAGGCCAAGCCTGCTTCCTCCATTGCCTTGGTCCATGACCCCGAACCTACGAAAACCTCCTGCGCTCTGATGCCATAAGCGAAAGCCGGCCTGTGTTTCAATGGTGAATGGGTCCCCATCAAGATCAGCTCCTGTGTGTCAACCGGATGCTCATTGAAGCTCCAGGGCACCTGAAATGGTGCCTTCCCTTGCTTTGGATGGTTGTCCTGACAGCGTGGGCATCTGGGTCTCTTCCCTGGTACGAGTGCAGCTGGGTCTTCGTTGGCGAGGAATTCACGCCAACCCTCACATGGCCATTCGCGATCTGATTGCCCGTTCAGTGTCAACTGTGCCGCCACCGCCACCTTCACCGGCTCCTCCTTCTCGTTGGGCACAACAATCTGATGTGACCTCCATGGATCAGGAACGGGATGATGCGGTTCTGGCTACCTGGTGTGCTCCCCACGAGGTGGTCCACGTGAACATGTCCTCAACAATTCAACCTCCAACACTGCAACCTCCGTCAGGTCCTTCAGAGCGAACGCTTGGAACAGCCGGTAGTCCTTGTCGTGGTGCGCACGCAGGCAGTCACGTAGCCTCGAACCTTTGCTTTACGAGCTCCTATCCAGGGTGCCGGATCTCCAGGCTCGCCCGAGTGCGCTAGCGAGCTCATCCGGTACTGGCAGCCTGTCCTTATAGTCCAAGTAGCGCCAACAGCGTCGTTCTGCGCCGCACTGAAACTCGAATCTTCCCTCGCCGTAGCCCTTCTCCTTGTGCCACACAGTCGGACTGACCCATGCCTGGCGCTCCTCGTTGATCCACCCCACTGAACGCTCCTCCCCCCAAGACCTTCTCCGGTGTGGGCGAGCTCGGGGCATCCCTTAATCTCAGTGGCCTTCAAGAGCACCTCATCGATCGTCATCTCCTGCTTCTCGATTATCGCATTGAGCATACGTGTCCTCACATGTGACTGGAGATAGCCTGACCAACCATTGAGACGAGTGAAGGCACCCCCCTTCTCAAGCTCCTCAAGGATCTTCAGTCGCTGCTGGGCCTCAGGATGCTCAACCCGCTGTGTGAGGCTCTGGCCTGCGTCCCAATGATGGATCCTTCAACCAATCTGAGTCAGGCCCGCGCGTCAGCTCCCTCAGCTCGTCTTCAACTTGTGTATTGGACTCCTTCATATTCTTCCGGAGGAAGCCATCCCTGCTTCTGTCCAGCTCCATCCTTCACCTTCTCATCATCGTGCTCCGATTTAGCCTGAGCCCTCAGCTGAGCAATGCGCCCATCAACCTGTGCCGGTTGAATCATGGGTCCATTCTTCAAGCCTCCTCTTCGTATGAGCTGGGCCAGGACGGTCCAATGTAGCCCTTTCGTGGTGTTGATGGGCTGGTGTGCATGATTGCATTCCTTCCCTCTGCTGCAGCCCATGTGGGTTGCTCCGTCCCAACAGATCGGCTTACCCTCCTTGGTGCGAGGACCATGTTTCACCGAACCGACTCTGCGGCCTCTCTTGGACGGAGTCTCTTTCCAGCAGGGTAGGCCTTCTTCTCATCCTTCTCCTTTTCGCGCTTCTTCTTGTCCTTGTCACCCTTGTCGCCACCACGATCTCGGCCTCGGCTAACGCGATCATCATCGCCACCAGGTTCTCCACCTTCTAGTTCCCCATCACCAGCCACGGGATCTCCTCCAACTTTGAGCGTTGCATGATCTTTGCCACCATGTTGCATTGCTGCCAAGCCATAGGCGATCCCGTTCGTGACTAGGCACGGCCACCCGATCTGCTGCAGCTTGGCTTTCGCGTGAGAACATGCTCGCTTCAAAGCGTCAAAGAGCTCCTTGCCAGTGACATCGGGACAAACCTCCACTGTCAAGGTGTTGCAGCCTCGAGCCAAGTAGACGTCCAGGCTTTCTTCGGACCCAATGGCGCTTCTGGTTCCTGGGTTTCCTTTCTTGTCACCCTCAGTGGCCTTCCGTATTCCTTCAAGTGCATGAACCACGCGGGCGCTCATTTGGCTATCTTCCTCTTCACCTCCAGCACCAGCTCGAGTCGACGCATCCTCCACCTTGCGCGAAATGCCGAAGAGCTGCCCCACGATGCCATCATTCGAAGTCAAGGGATTGAACTTGCCAACATCTCCTGCAGGGCGAATCAGGCTGCCTTCCTCTCGCTTCTCCCCATAGTGGGCTGTGAACAACTTCTCCGGGGTGCTCGGGTTCCGTCTCTCGGACGGTTTAGATTGTTCTGGATGAACTTCAGGGCTTCCATCTTCTTTCACGCACCTTGAGCTCTGTTAGCTCATCCCCTTAAGAACTCGTTTGGCCGTCTCAACCTGCTCGTTCTGCTTCCCGCAATTCTTCCTGATGTAGGCCCTCATAGTGCTGCTGATGGTTTGCAGGTCCACCTCATAGATCATCTGGATCGTGTCAATGGCTTCCTTCTGGGTCTGCCCTGCTCCAATAGCGGTCAGGTAGGCCTCGATGATGCCTTCTCCTGTCACCTCATCTGGGTCACTGTCAGGAACGGCATCTCGATCCGCTTTCTTCTTCGCTTCATCCCTCCTTCATGGCCCTGGCTTCTGCTCCGTGATCGCGTCCTCTGTGCTCCTTGTCCTTGGTGATGGCCATCATCACGTGCACGAACATGCTTGTCGATCCGGAGCTCTGCCTCAGCAGGCCAACTCGGCCACAGTTCACCCTTGATGTAGCCTGCACTATGCTTCCTCACCAAGACCATCAACTTGTTTTTCACCTCCTTCAACTGCATGTCGTTGAGGCGTCGTCCACTCATGATGGTTCGGCCTTCCCAAGCCGTGAGGCGTTGCGTGAGGATCTCCGGCACCAAGTACCCCTTGATGTCAAGCCCAATGCATGCTGCATCGTGCGGGATCTCCTTCACCAAGAGCTGCGCTTTGGCTGGGTCCACATCTTCGATGCCCTTTGCGTCCATCATGTCCTCCAGGTACTTCGGGTCGATGACAATGGTGTTCTCCAGGTACTTCACGAAGACCTCCAGCTTGCGATCTCCTCGTACTCCGCCAGGGTTGTAGCCTGTCAGCTCTCCCATGCACATGATCCAATCGGACTGACCGTCCTCATAGTTCAACTTTAGCTTCAACCATACGGGCTTGCCCATGACGTCCTCTTGATCCAAAGCTCCTCGAGGGGGGGGATGGAATCATCACCTTGCCCAAATCAACCGAGCTGGATCTCGCTGGAGCCATGCCACTCTTTCTTGACCTGCTTCTGCCTCTCCTCATCTCCAGCTTCGGATTGGTTGTTGCCAGCCTGAGCTTCAAGCGCTGGACTTCGACTGCGACTGGACGTTCTTCTGGTGAAGCGACGGCGAAAGACTTGCAACATGCCGTTTGGATGTGGGCTATCCCTAGCCCCTGCGCCCCCCCTGTTCGCGCAAGTGGTCATAGCACAAGGGGACCCCATGTCG